CAACAGTATTTATGTTGTGTATTTATGCAGTGTTGCATTAGAAATGTATCCTATTAAAATAAGGCATTCATTACATTCTGTTCCATCACGTATAAAAGGGGGGGAAGAAAAAGAAGAGCACCATATTTGGGTGTTTAAAGTGTGTTGCCCTGTCCTTTCTAACATCCATGCCCCAAAGTTAATTCAGCTGCTGGATGCTGAAGTAGTTGGCTTGCATGTGTGTCTTGGAGAGGGATGTTGCTGTCTACGTTAGAATTCTCATTACAGTCTCCCATACTGCCAGATTTCTGGCTCTTGCTTTTAAATCGTTCCCAGATATTGTTAGAAATGAAATATTTTACAGTGCTGTTAGAATTCTTTAAATCATGAGCTGTCTCCTGGCTTGCCAGAGCTGTTGGTGTATTCCTGTGCAGCTCAGGTTCTCTTTTGTTCCCTCATGGAGGGGAGGGATGGGGGGCAGGAAATCATCCTGTCGTTGGGAGAGGTTTGGAACATCTGCTTGTTGTGTATTAGAAATCAGAGAATTTAATGAAGCAGTATTTTTCGGTATCTTTTTTATGTTTTCTAGTGGGATGTCAAAAAATCATTTTAGCTGATGCTGATGACATCTTAAAATGCAGTTAGTTTATTTGTTTATTGTTTCTAGTATTATCAGTTCAGTGTTTGTGTAGTGTTAGAAGGGACCTGCATGTTCACACACTGCTGGTAAATTCAGAGTTTGTCATGTTATGTGCAGCTGTAACTTCTCACAGGAGCCTTCGGAGCCTTGGATTACTGGAAAAAGAGCTGATAGTATTTCTCTTCTATAAACAGTTGTCAAAAATACTCTGATGTTTGAAAGACTAAACCTCTCTGGTGGTTCTCAAGCCAAAATTGAAAAGTTTTTTTTTGTGGTTTAGTAGCCTTTTTTTAAAGGATGGTGGTAGTAGCTGTAGTAAGGTCTGGGCATTTTTGAAATACTTAACTCCTGTCTGCAGTGTGAGGAAAATCCTTGGTAAGGACTTGTAAATAGTGGTTTTTTATTAGCCTGGAAAGATGGTGTGACTGTGACAACTTCCTGAAATGGCATAGGTACTTAATATAACTTGTGATAGCATGAAGTCTCAAGTAATCTGTTGTGGGGGAATGGAGGGGTTGGAATCTGGAATCCAGCTACATAAATTTAATTCCAGTAGTGAGGGATTCTGAGTTAACAGTGACTGCTAAAGCAGGGAGCTAGAAGATTCATTTGCTAAGCTAGTTACTTAATGTAATTGTTCATTTGAATTGTGGAAGAGCCGAAGTATATACAACTGTATTTACTGAGAGATTTCCTTACAAATTAACTGAAATATAGAAATGCTCTCTTCAGTTCAAAGTATGGAAAAATTTCTATATATGTATATTTAAGTTCCTTTGAAATACATATTCAGAGTCTGGAGTTGACAACTTATTTGTCTTTTTCTGAAAATGTCAGTTTTGCATAGTTTCCATTGGTTGGTTAGAACCATAGGTTAACATGCTGTTGCCACACCGTGCTGTTAGAAGTACTCAGTGACAGTGGGCAGGGTATGATAACGTTGCACTCCTTGAAAGGGCTTTGGTTCTGCAAGAAATCTAAAGTTTGCTGACTATAAGAAGTTAATTTGATGATTCCCTGATTTACTTTGCTACAGTACTTTGGCAGATGTTGAATTCAGAATGTTTGTCCATGAACGTCTATGGCATAGTTAGTGTTTTAGGTTGTACATAAGACCAGTACTGCTTAATGTTTTTCTTGACATTGGTAGGAATACAGATGTGGCATTGAAAACTTCTGCTCCTGAGGACTGGCTGTGACCTTTGAATAGTGTACAATCACAGTTTGTACTTCTTCTGTCCTTTGCAATCTTTCCCTTGTGCTAAAATGAATACTCAAGTAGTTTCTCTCATGTTGCTATTGTAAGAAATTTCCTTTGCAGCCTATGGTTGGAAGGGAATTTGATGTGGTGGCTTCAATTTGTTTGGCTTATTTAATTTTATTTTTAAACTTAAATTTGGACTTTTCTGTTGGTCAGTGTTTGTGATCTACCGTCTTGAAGTAGCTTGATGCACAGCAGCTTACAAAGATGGGGAAGAGAGCTAAGTGAATATTGCTCTTGAATCTTTCATTCTTTATTGAATTTGATTCACCACATTGTTCAAAGACATGAGCTTGTTTTCCTTGTTTCTGAAACATTCAATAGAATTGACCTGAACTTGACGGTTTATTCGCATTGGATGATTTGACTATTGGAAGTGGTGTGCTTGAGAATAAGGCTACTGTGTGCACGAGATACTTGGGAAGTGAGCTGTAATTCTGAAATGCATGTACAAGTGGTAGAAGTTTTGCCCTTGAAGTAGAGTACAAGTCCTTTTTGGCCTATCTCTCTGTTAAAGAAAAAACACATGAAAACTGGTCCAAACTCGTAAGTTGAATAAAATCCTACCTTTGCTGAATGGGTGTTCAAAAAATAAATAAAAAAGTTGGCCTCTGTCATTATTTTGTAGGTGCTTATGTCATTATAGCAGTGTCAGTTGACTTACTTGAAATGCTTCTATTAAATTGCTTTGTAAAACAGCTGTCATCTTATGAGACCTTTTTGAAGTAAATAGCAATTAACAGCCAGCTAACTGCTTTTGATTTCTGTAATTACTCTGTTTTCAAGTAGAACGTGACTTCTTTTGCTGCATAGCTGTTTTTTAAGTTACATATAACTTGCATGTTCTTCTGAAACAAAATCATAACTTGAAATTTCAAGTATAATGACAAAATCTTGTAACAGGCTATGTAAATGTTATCTGAGGTGTTAAATGTGTTTCAGAACGGAAAGAGAACTTTTAAAATTGCTCCTAAAACACAACTGAGTAACCACTCTGACTGTTTAGCTTGGTGTTGATTTTGGATTTTTTTTCTGCTATGAGTTAAGAAATGTATCAGGCTTTTGTAACATGTTTCTTAGGAGGCAGAAGTTTATGTAGTCATTTTTACAGTCTGCGAGTCTGAAGTTGCTCATTTAGGCAACTTTTTGAAGCTGAAGACAGTTGGAATAAATTCTAGACTTCAGATTTGTGAGGTTCTGTAGGGTTTGGGAAGGCATTCATTCATCAGTACTGAGGGTGTTTCAGCTCTTGGTGTAGCATCTGTTGTAGTGTTGCAAATTGATGACTGGCCTATTGAGGAAAACCAAATCTACCACTGAATTAATTTAATTTGCCAAACTCTGAATGGATTCTGTCTCTGCTGCCTCTGCCTATTGCATTGAGCTGTCCAGCCTAGAGATGAGGCTTTTGAGCAAGGCTGGATGAGTAACTGTGAGCAGAAATAACTGTTGTATTACTAAGTGAGCAGCAGTGTTGGCAATCGTGACCTTCAAGGTACTCTATCTATGTAAATACTAGAGAAATAGGCCGTTAGAGAGAAAGAAAGAATGTTTGTGTAGCCATTTGTACTGATTTTTAGTGTATGATACTGACAATATGGAGCAGTATAGGTTGAAAAAGAGTTTCCGTAACTTTTCTGGCATATGTCTTTGTCACGTCCAGCTACATTTTTCCGTAATTGTATCTGATTGCATATATGCCTTTGCACTGCAAACAAGAAGGACTCTTAGTATTAGCCATTATTTATTTTCAAAGGAAGTCAGTTGGTGATGTGATGGGCGCGTTTTTTTTTTGGTTGAGTGAATAGTCTTCCATAAGCTGTATAAAGATACTACAGAGCTGATGCTAAAAGTTGCATCTTTATTATCTGTGTATACATACGTAGTACTTAAGACCTCTGGATGTCAGGTGCCATTTTATATGTATATATGCGCACAGAACACTGTGGTACAATGATAAAGGTTTGATTTTATGCATCTTACAGCTATGCGGCATAGAAAGACAATATTCTCAGGTTAGTTTAGAATTCGGTTTTGAGGTACTTTCAGGATATTTTCTGCCTAGCATGGAGATTCTGTTGTAGTGCCCATAACTAAATGAGAAGCTTTCACTTTTAAAAAGATGAGCTGCAATTGGTTTCTTTCGCTTGTGCATTTTAGTGGTGACATGGATTGGTGTTAGGGCTGTTGAGGAAGTACTTTGGAAGTGGGAAAAGATCTAATTAAAAATGTTTAAAGGTTGTCAAGTTTATTTCTTTTTAATAATTTCTTTTTCTTAAGTGGAAGATAATTTTGTGTGTGTGTGTGTGATAAAAACTTACTGGAGTAGGACAAGAAGAAAAAAAAGAAAAATGGGGAAAAACAGTAGGGGAGAAAGAAGCAAATGCCTCTTCAGCTTTGCCAAGTATTTGTCTTGTAAATAATTTGAGGAAAAGGTTATCTTATGAGTTTTCCATATACATCCTACTTTGATTGTTTTGCAGCCTACTACTATTCAAAAAGATCATTAACTTGATAATTGTCCTATTTTAGGAGTTACAGTTGCCACCTGTAGGTGCTACCTTCTGCCCTAGGTTTTTAGGACAAATGGATGCCCCCAGATTGAATAGTGATAGTATTCTCTGAAGACAAGTCTTTTTTTTTTTTTTTTTTTTTTTCTCCAAATAGGAATGTTAGAATTGAGCTGAACTCACCATTTCTATTTGTGCAGATTTCCCTTGTAGTTTAATCTGGATATAATATTTTAATTTAACGTGAAATATTAAAATAACTAACTATATTTTATGGAAGTAAACAATTATAATGTTTTAATTTGAAGTGCTGAACAGAATTATTGCTCAGGACTTCTTATTGTGTCTTAAGGTGGCTGCATTTTGGCGGTGGGTAAAACAATTGTGCTTAAGCTGCTCTCATTGCAAGTTTGCCTTGTAAATATACTGCTTTATGTAGACTTCAAGTGGTTGCACTTGTCTGAAATGAGAAAGTCTGCCAAATCTGAATAGGTTTGGTTATGCTTGCTTAAGTTCTAAAGGTTTTCCCTGTCAAACTGACGTTTTTAATATCATCTTTAAAAATCACAAAATAGAGGAAAAAAATCTCTTACTGTCTCTTTCTTTTTAGAGAGGATCTGACGAACTTCTTTCAGGCAGTGTACTCAATAGCCCGAACTCTAACATGAGCAGCATGGTAGTTACTGGTAAGTGATGCCCTTTCAAAGGAGAAATCTATCATTTATTTTTGGACTCATTTCCTGTTTCCAAGGGGAGAACGCTGAAACGAGAATCCATTGTGCTATAGAGGGATAAAGTGTTGGCATGCATTACACTGTAGTGTACATATAGTCAAAATCCTCAGGAACCTGAGAAAGGTAATCCCATGAAACAAAGAGCAACTTTCAGATGTCTGTACAGTACACCAATGGTGGATGACAGAATGAAAAATTACACTTGTCTTGTACTGCTGCCTTCAAAGTAAGGAATCAGAACTACCAGTTAAGGGTAAACAGATAACAACTCATTATGACTTCTGTTTTTTCACATGTAGCTTCTGTGAGCCTGGGCATTACGGGAATGTATGTAATTACGGGAATTGTGCTGCCCTGTAATGCATTCAAGAAAAGAGAATTTGGTCTGCTCTTATTTAGACTGCAAAAGCAGTGAACTTCACTTTGCTTCTTCAGTCTGAGATGGCAGTGTTACTAAAATCTCAACGTTAGGTTGTTCTTTAACCACTATGATGTTACTAGATAGAAAGGCTTTTAAGGAATTAGCACATAATAAAATGCCTTTCATTGCAGTGTATGGTCCTGACATTCACACTTTCTTTGAGTTCCTTGTGAGAGTTCTCCTCACAGTCTTGCTTTTTCTCTCTGAGAACATGTAACTTTTTTATTTCTCTGAAATGTGGAGGAATTAGTTCATGGTATCGGTGTTACTTGGTCTTTCCAAATGGTTGCTTGGTTCACAGCTTCCATGTGCTATATATATATATATATATATTCCCATCTGTATTTACTTGTTGAGCAGTGCAGTATTAGTTCCAGATTTACTACTATATTGAAAGTAAAGTAAACAAAGATTAGGATTCTGGATACAGTTTCATGATATATTTAATATGCTGTGATGGCAGATGTTGCCAGAGTGGATGTTCTCTTCCTGCATTCCTAGTATAAACAAGAAAAAAACATGCAACTGCTTGTGTTTCTGCCCTGCTTGGTGCTGGAGTGTTCATACTCTTGTGAGATAGCTGCTACAGCACTAAAGTGTATTGCTAAGAAGAGCTGCTTTCCATTGGAGCAGCATAGAGATTGGTAATATGACTGTGCAATTTCTAGATCATGTACAGTATAGGGAAAATGAGTGGGCTGTCAGAAGAGGAAAAATAATGTATTTGTGGTCATTTTAGAGCCCCTGGAATGCTTATTTATCTCCTCTGCTTTTTGTCCTTTCTTCTATTTCTGAAACAGGTACATCTTCTCATTTCCATTTTCTTGATATCCTCAGCAGTCCAAGATAATACTGCTTCAGCAATTTGCTTTTCATAAATAAGAAACCACAATTAGAGGGAGTTAGAGTTGTGTGGAGGGTACATTCGGGTTTGAATGTTGAGTGTGGGGGTGAAATGTCAGTGTTTACAGGACAAGTTAGTTTTTCCTGAACATTTTGAAATGAGAAACTTGAAAATCAGGAAAGCTAAATGGAAGTTTACTTATCAAAAGGAAAAAAAAAAAAAAAAAGCTGAAAGGGTAAAAAAAGAAAAGAATTACATGTTTGGGCTTTCAGAAGAAAATTTAGAGAAGCTTTTCTAAGAAGCCCTAAAACTTGAAGTCTGAGTTTGTCTCATCTGAGAGTTCTTTGGGAAAAATGGCTTTGGTTCCATAACGTGAATGGAGGAGTTTGTGTTTAATGAATGCAAATTCTCCTACCCTCCATCTTGGTTTTGTTCCTCTCTCTCTCTTTTTTTTTTTTTTTTTTCTTTAGCTCCAAAGAGACAGTTTCCAAACAAATTGATTCTCTGTTTTAAACAAGCAAGGCCTCTTGGTAGGTTTCTAGGCATCCAGAACCATAAATGGTTTCCAAGAAAAGATCTCATTATCAGCTGGCGGTGGTGTGAGATAAGTTCCTGTAGTATCTGTTGTTTGTAACAAATTTTCATACTAATTAGGTATAAAGGAGTTATTCTGGAAAAATACCCAGGGGGAAAAAACAACAACAAAAAGAAACAAAAAACCCCACGATCACAAATGCAGTGTTTTAATTCAAATCATTCTGTACAGAAGTGTGTGGGAAGGAGTCCTGGTTTGTCAAAGTTTTCTTGGTTTGTTTTCATGCATTTTCTTGAGATTGCATTCAAGCTTCTGTTCTGCCTGCCTTTGTTAAATAGCATACAAAATCTGTAGAGCAGGTTAAATCAACATTTCAGTATTATTCCTATGTGCATATGTTCTTGTATCTGTCTTGTTTATCAGGAACCTGGAAGGTACGTTTTCCAGTTTTGCACAGGTTTCTTTAACAATTTCAGATTAGAGATGCAGAAATGATTGGGTCCGAAATAGAAACTGGTGTGTTAATTTTTTGTACCTGTTTCCTGAAGCCAGATGAATTGAAACATTCTTTATGTCCAAACCAATGCCTTCCTTTTGCTTCAGCACTGTTTATTTTTTTCTGTAGATGAATTTAAAACTTCAGTGGAAAGGATTTATCAGCTGTAGCTGAGCCATTGTAGCTTTTCAGGGCCTATTCAGGGAATCTGTAGTCATTGCTTAAGGTCTTGGTTAAGCAGGCATGTCATAGAAACTGACCTACTCTGTAACTCTTTAATGCCTTCTTGAAGTTTGGTGTCATTTCATGAAACGTGTTCATTGGTTTGTTTTGTTTTTTTTTTTCAATACATAGAAACCTACTCTTGTTTAGTCATTCATCTTTTCAACATAAGATTCCTGATATTTTATGAACAGATATTGTGCTTTGAGCTTTGTTGGTAAAAGTATACAATCCAGAAAATCCAGTTGTGACCAGCGCTGCTCTAACAGGCCCAAATTTAGAAGAAAACCTTGAAAATTGTTTCCTTGTTTCTTTTGAAATCCATTCTGCAAAAATATATCAAACTTCTTATAAAACAGTTTGCCTCAGACCTGTTGCTGTTAAGCAGTGTTTTTAAAAACTCATTTTTTTAAAAAGACCTATTCATGGAAGTTGACACGTGCTGTCTAATTGAACTATCTTTAATGGCTCTGTGTTTAGAGATGAGGTTAAACCTAAGTTTTTTAAAAATAGTTGTCTTACTCTTTTATCACAGTAATAGTCTCACGAAAATTTTTGTAATATTCATTTCTTTTTCAGATAGAATACTGTAGTTTAATGCTCTGAAGTGTATTCTTGTGCTAATTCTTCCTTAAAGGCATGAAAGATGTGTACCTTTCTCCTTTGCAGGGTCTTGTGTATGAATTCTTTTCCTCTTTTATTTAAAAAAAAAAAAAAAAGCCTTGCAAAATTGCTGGATAGGCATTGGTTTTGCATTTGAATAATTGTTGTATAAGTTTTTATTTGATAATTTGAACCACTGATAATTTGATAAATGGTATGAAATTAAGGAAAGCTGACCATATTAGACCAAAGAAATTGCTGAAAATAGGAGTTGTGATCCTTGAACAATTTCTTAACAGCTTGGTCATTGTTACCCATCTTCAAGACTGTATAGATAAAGGGAAGTTGGGAGTATGTTATATTATGATTTACTGCAAGTTACTAACTTAAGTACTTTGTGTATCTCCAGTAAAAGAACTGCCTCGAAAAGAAGACAAACTTGGATATTTGTGCATGATGCTGTGCAATTTTCTTACTGTTTACTTCTCACCCCTTGCATCTGCAGTTGATGACTGTTCTTAGCCGTGATGAATTTCATTTAAACATGTTTATTGTAAAGTATGCAAGATTTTTTTTTTTTTACTGTAGAAGAACTTTATGAGCAACATGAAAGAACATCATTCTGTAATCATCTGAGGGTAGAATCCTATCATAGATTATTGCTAGGAAAAAGACCTTGTAAGATTCTGGGTCAACAAATATCTGTTTTTTGTGTTTGTTTTTTTTTAAAGTTATATTTGACTATGCATTTTATCATCAGCTGACAAAGATATGTTGAATTTGCAGAATCACAGGCCTTGCACTATTAGTATTTTCTTTCAGCTTTTTTGAAAATGCTGTCCAAGTCCATTCTTTCTTTGTATCATAGTCATGCTCATCTCTCATATCCTAGAAGAGCATAAATTACCTTGCCGTGAGAACTGTGAATTTGTTTCCTCGTGAACACAGCTGCCAATGACTCGAAGGACAGTTTGATAGCAGGATTCTGAGAAACAAGAGCTGAAGCCTAGATATATAAGGAATATCTTCTTGACACTAGACTCTATTCTTCAACTTCTAAGAGAATCAAGTCCCTTTTTCTGAAGAACTACAAAGGTTATTTCCTTTATGAGGGGTTACTTTTACCAAACTTCTTGTGTGACTTCTTTCTTTCAGGTGAAGGACTACTCATTGGAAGTTCTAGGAACAGCTGTGTATATGAAGGTGCTCATGCCCTGAACTGTATTTCTGAAATCCACAAAAGAAAAAAAATTTGAAGGGATATAGATAAAAGCAAAAGTTGAAGAAAGTTTTATGAAAGTTACTGAAGACGAAAGATTGACAAAGAAAATTGTATTTTTATACTGTAGCCACTGTCACTTTCATTATTTATGTTTGTGTGTTTTAACTCAGTAAAAATATTTCAAAAATTGTTTTGCAGTGGAGCTCACCAAGCTCCTCTGGCTTTAAATGGCAGTATTAATCTTCATCTCTTTTTTTACTTCATTAGTAGGGAAGGTTAGCAGCGACTTTTATAGGTAATTCATTGTATTCACAGAAAACTTAGTGCTAAGGCATGCAAGATACCAGTGTTCTCAGTGCCCAGTTTAACTTACAGTATTAACATAGATGTTCTGATTTTGATAGCACATTAAATGAAGTTGGTTTTTAGTTAACACTAACCTGAGCACAAGTAATTTACCTCTGAATTTTCAAATTTATTATAATTCACAAAATCACTTATGATTAGAAATACCACTAAGATCGTCTAGTCCAACCATTTACCCATCACCACCATGCCCACTAAGCCATGTCCCTCAGTGCTGCATCTACCCTTTTCTTGAAAGCCTCTAGAGATGAGAGAGGGAGGAGATTGTCCCCTTATACTCAGCTCTTATGAGGCCCCTCTGGACTACTGCATCCAGGCCTGGGGCCCCCAGCACAAGAAGGACTCAGAACTCTTGGGAATGGTCCAGAGGAGGTCCACTAAGATGATCAGAGGGCTGGAGCACCTCTCCTGTGAAGAAAAGTTGAGGGAACTGGGCTTGTTTAGTTTGGAGAAGAGAAGGCTCCGGGGAAACCTCATTGTGGCCTTCCAGGATTTGAAAGGAGCGTGTAAACGGGAGAAGAAATGACTGTTTACATGGGTTGATAGTGATAGGACAAGGGGGAATGGTTTTAAACTAAGATGGGAAGTTTAGGTTACGTATTTGGTGGAAGTTTTTCACACAAAGGGTGGTGATGCACTGGAACAGGTTGCCCAAGGAGGTTGTGGATGCCCCATCCCTAGAAGCATTCAAGGGCAGGCTGGATGTGGCTCTGGGCAGGCTGGTCTGGTGGTTGGTGATCCTGCCCATGGCAGGAGGGTTGAAACTACGTGATCTTTGAGGTACTTTTCAACCCAGGCAATTCATTCCATGATTCTATGGTATGGTCACTTTTCTAGCCCTCCTGACTGCACTGTTTTTGATACAAGCCAGGGTGCCATTGGCCTTTTTGGCCACTTTGGCACACACTCATGATTGTAAAGTGTCATAATAGACTAAAATTTACATAGGTCACTCTTAAAGTAGTTCCTCCTATTTAGTTGCGTGGAAGCTACAAAAGAAACGAAGAGCACAGTAACACTATTTGATTGAGCAAATTCTCAGGTACAAAACACTACTTTTCAGCATAGTCACCACCATCATTGGCTACGAATTCTCAGCAGTGGTGAACAATAGCCTGTGTGCTGCACTTGTAAAAACCTGTGCCAGTGGAGTTTACCTATTGTCTATGTCACCACTGCTGAAATGCACCACTGACCACCTCACTGTGCTGACATCCACTTTTTGCTCTCCATAAAATTTCAGCAAGCATTGAGGAATGTGAGTGGATGCCAATTTTTTTTTTTTTTCATGGAGGAATTCAGTAGCACATTTCCATGGTCGATGCAGTTTTGTCAGAGTGCCTCTCTGCTGCCATGTGTTGCACAGCAACAAAATGTGCTGGAGTATTGGTTGGATGATTTAACCTCTACTGCCATATCACCAACATAGCAAAAGAGGGGGTGTTATTTTTGGAGCAGACTCATGTGGGCATTTGTGTGTGGACAACCTAAATTTTAATGCTCAGCATGTTTGAACACTATCTTTCTTTAAATTAAGAAACTTTGGGAGGTAAACAGCAAAGAAAAAAAAACAACCACTGACGACAAACTGGAACCACATCTCCAGATGCGAGAGTGAGAATACAGCTATTAGAATTAATTCAGTTAATTTGTCTTTATCATTATGCCATAACTTGTTTTTATTTCGTTTCAGTTGCATTGCACACTAGCCATATTATTTTTATATTTCTTAAGGGCAAGAGTGATTGACATTTGTTTTGGATGGTCCTGTGCAACTTTGAACAGCCAATATGCCACATTATAACTGTATTATAGTTACAAAACATGATCAGTGGATTTTGAAACAGCCACAGACTGGATGCAGATGTGCTTGTTCTAAAAGCAGTATAGATAATCTTTTATCTGCCTGACCGTGGTTATGTATTTGAACTCAAATTGCTGATAGGCAATATTCTCTATAGTTTAGGATTAGTTTCATTACTATTTGGTTCAGGATTTTCCTTTCCCTTGTGGCCTGTATCTGGAGTAAGGCTCTGGCTTTATTACTGATGGGATGCTTCTGTTAAGGAGTATGATTTCTGCAACACAGTAGTGGCCTGACACGACAAGGATAGTAAGATATAACATACTTTTAAGTTTAAAATCTTAGAGAACATGCTCCTCTCTCCCCAGAGGTCCTCAAAACAACAAAAGTCCAATAGAGTTAACACAGAACATGTAACCTGCAATTTTAGAATTAAAAAAAAATGCAAGCTTTACAGAACATCATATTCTCATAGTTTTTATCTTTTTTTGCATGCGTTATTGACTCTCTTCTTCATTTCAAGCGCTCTGAATTCCAGATTTTATCTTTAGCTTGGATTCTGAGCTATCTGTATGAAAATTAAGAGTCTGGTTTTCCCTTTTTTGGGAACCTGTTGACTCCTGCAGCAAATCTCGCTTGATCCTACCAAAGATCCTCTTTTTCTGTCTTCTGTCATCCGTATCAGGCCAGGTACAGACACATAGCTGAACCTCAGAAATGGAGCTGTAGTGCTCTTTTTGTGTTGCAGCTTTTTCGTTTGGGGTTTTCTTTCGTTGTTTAATACAGGTGATTGTTTTCAGGTAACTACTGTGATATTTAATCTTCCTGATTGTGGTCAGAATCTGCAATTTTAAACTAAATATTTTCATAATTGCATTGCCTTCTTTTAGTCATGTATTTCCTATGCAGATATATGCCTGATGCTACTTTTTAACATTGAGTTTTGTATATTCAACTTAGGAGGAACAAATACTGTTGATGTTAGCAGAAACTATGAATAAATCTGCTAGTAAGGATCCTGTCTTTTCTATGTGAAGTGGTGAGGATGAAATAAGTGTTCCAGAAGAGCATGAATACTTACATTCCTTTCTTTTGTAGCTGGTTGTTGGAGTGTAGTGATGATTTTGAACCAGAGTGGCTTGTGCAGAAATCAGGTTTATCAATTGTTTCTTATATTGCAGCTATAAAAGGATTTATAGTTTGCCTTTTTTTTTTCCTCCTTATGTCGAAGAAATAACAAGTTAAAAGTTATTGTATGCCAAGTCTTTGCTCTGAAGAGTTTCTGAACTGGGAGAAATTGTGAACATGAGAGGAGGAACCTTTGAGGAAAATGAATGAGGAAGAAAAGAATATTTACTGCTGTAGCTCTTAATTTCTAGAGTAAATATTCATTACAATTATTGTTATAGAAAATTACACACATAAAGGATATGATTTGTATATTTTCAAGGTAAACAATGTGTATATTTTCCAGCTCTTGTATTTTGACTTCAGAATATTTCAGGTAGTATTGCTATGTATCTTTGTAGGGGAGGAAGTGTGCAAAGAAAAATTCCTTAGGATGAAATGTTATTAAAATGTTTCCAAAATTATTTCTCAGCAGGAAATCTTATTTGTTCTTGTGTAGAAGTTACGTTGAAATTTAGAATTTGTTTTTCTGTAGAAAAAACTGCCTGTGAACATTGAATCTTTATAACTTGAATGATTGAATGCTGTAGACTTAACTTGTATACCTTAAGCTTCATTTTGCTCCTCATATATATATATATATATACAGATTTTCGGTCCTGTTTTAATAAAAGAGGACTTTCTAACTTCAAATGTCAGAGAATGCAGATTGCTTAGATAATGCCCATTCACAGGCTTTGTCAGCTCTTACGTCTTCAATTTCCATGACTTGGTTTTCTGTGAAGTAGGGATGTGGCTTATGTGTCAATTATGTTTAGACTGCAGGATCCTGCTTAGATTGGAGAATAATGATTTTGAATGCTGTTTGTAGCAACGAGATTCTGCTTAAGATTAGCCAACTGATGTTGCATGGAAATTGGATTTTTCTTTCTCTCCTTGCTGGAGAACCAAAGAGGACTTTGCAACAGTGCACTGGCTATTACAGAACAGATCTTATTCTTTTGGTGGAATAGCTTCTTGCCAATGAGCTTCCACTTCAATAGCACTTCTTTGGTAGTAGTTATTAGCTGGCTTTTGAAATTGCCCCTTCCCAATTTTCTGCAGTTTTGCCTTTTTCCAGAAGCATCTTTCAGATTGTCTTGTGTCAGAAAACAGACTATATGAATAATGTTCTTCTCAGTGCTTGGGTTTTTTTATTTTGCTAGAGAATGACATTGGTGCTTTAATAGTAGCTTACCTTTCAGTGGCTCTGCACAATTTGTGTTTCCGTGTTTTTAAATACTGGTTTTCTGTACCCAAGTATAATTTGAAGATGTCTCTGACTGAGAAGCATTGCTTGACCTGATACATAAGACAGTGTATAAAATTAGGGAGAGATGCTTCATGTGATGCCAGAAACTTTACTGTTTGTCCCAAAAGATAATTTGGTTGTTTGACAAATGTTTTGAAAACTCATGTCTACGTACATACGTGTTTAATATATGGCAAAGTTTGTTATTGCCCTTATTGAAGTAGTAAGTTTGCATTAAGCTATACTGGCTGGATAATTGAAGATTACAAAAAAGCGTTCTTTTCTGTGTTCAAGAAAAGCAGGACAACTAATTTTTTTTTTCCATTTTCTATCCAATATTAAATGTTTTGTGGTAAATTTTGATGGCTTCATTTTGTGAATTTTATCACAAGCTTAGCTTTCAGTGTCTGAAGTATGCTTCTGCCGACAGCAAATCAGTGGCTCTGTCAGGCTTACTTTCATTTATGTAGCGCTATTGCCAGAGATCCTCAAGTAGCTGCCCATGTTTTGTCTTTTTAGTGTAATACTCTGTGTATTTTTGCGTGTATTATTTTCCATATATTTATCTACCTTTTATCTTCTGAAAGTGAATATTTATTCTGTAAATCTCCACACGTATGAAACCAAGCCGTAGTCTTGAGATGTGGCAGCAGAGCCAAAGAAGGTGGATCTTATTGCATTCATCCTCTCCTAGAAATCAATGTCTGTTGGATACTACACCCTCAATTCTAACCAGTTTGTATGTTGTAAGGTTTTTGTAGAACAAATAGAAAAAGACTTACAAAATCTTCAGTGGTGCAAGAACCTGGAAAGCAGAAACACTGAATTGGAACAGGAACTTCAGATGTTAGGAAAAGATATAAGAGAGTGGTAGAAATAATTTGCCGTGTACAGATCTTTTCCTTTCCTGTCATTTCCCATAGTGAAAACACAGGGAATGACTGTATTTACTCAAAATAGGAACTCTTTGTAGCTTTGGTCAAAGAACTGGAGTTAGTCTGTTTTGATAGAAGTGTTGAGAAGTTAGTGAAATATGTTACTTGGTCTGGCTGTTTGGATCCAGAACTGAAATGTTGGTGTTCTTGGCTTCTAAAAATGAATTGATTCCATTCTGTGTTTTTAATATTGACTGAGTTGTCATGGTTTAGGCAAACTGAGCTAAGAGCTTAAATTCTTAATTTTAGTTTAGGCATACCCTAAGCATAACTTACTGTTCTCAATTTAGGCACATATGAATGAAATATTTTCATGCAACTGATCAGGTCTGAATAATTTGCCTGGATGCAAAATCTGAGCTGTACTCTGTAGTTACAGCGAGTGATAATTGAAAACTTATTCCCTTCCCTTTGGAAATCACAGCCATGGGTTTCTTATGAAGGTGAGGCTTTTGGAGGATTTAACATAAATGCTTGGTATTGATTTTTTTCCTCTTCTTCTTATTTCTTCTAATTTTTTAGTTAGTAAATAAAGTTAGTCTTGTTCATGAATTTATTTTTTAAATCCTCATTGACCCATGAATTTGAACCCTAATAATTAGATATATTTTTCTTCTAGTCACAGGCTTTTTAATTTCTTTTTTTAGAAGAGTACGTAGCTGTTGAGTGGCTTTCCAGAGATGAAATGAAAGATTGAACACTGCATGTTTTATGGCCAGAAATACAGAAAAGGAAGTCTTAATGCTTGTTTCTCTCATATCTAAATGTGTTCTGATTTTTCAACATTAATTCATTAATATCCTTGTATATTAAGACAATATTGTGCTTTAGCTTTTAATTCTTTCTGATGTTACTTCAGTGACATTTATAGGCAGTAGTTTTATTATTTTATGGCCAAAGTAAGTAAATATTTCCTCACATAGTTTTTCAAAGCAGAACTTCTTCCATCCAGTTAGCTCTTTATTTCATATGTTCCAGCTTGAGTTCTTTTTTTTTTTTTTTTAATAATTTTATTGGAAGCCTGTGCAAGGAATTCTGGAAAACATTCAAATCTATCTCTTGGTGCTTTTGATTTTCTTTTTTTTTTTTTTTTTCTTTCCCCCTTGTTCTAGTAGAAATACTTGTCTTGCTTTTCCCTCCCTGTTAACTGCATCATGTCGTTAGCTGGTCTTTCTTATGAATGAGCCCATGGTTCAAAATGGTTCTTCTTAGTATTAATTCTTTCTCCTGTATTTGCATCAGTAAATTTGCTTTGTGACTTTTCTACTTTGTGCCTTGTACTAGTAGTATTTCCGGTTACTTTATTCCATTGCCATCTGTATCCATTCAAGGTAAAAACAAAGAGAAAAACAGAACTGGTTTACCTCTGACTACTTTACAGTTCTTATGCAAGCCATTCTGAGTCTTAATTAGTATTCCTACACATCATACATCACAGAAAATGAGGTGGAAAAAATGTACTATGTTTTTCATCTTGATTAGGAAATGAGCAGTCACAAACAGCTGTTGGGGTATCCTTGAACAGTCCATCTTTAAAGAATCGTAGCATCATTAAGATTGGAAAAGATCATGCAGTCCAACATCACCACCATGCCCACTAAGCTGTGTCCCTCTGTGCTGTGTCTAGCCTTTACATGAAGGCTTCCAGGGCTGGTGACTTTACTTCCTCCCTGGGCAGCCTTTTCCAATATCTCGCCACTCTTTTGGAGCATAAATTTTTCCTGATATCCGACCTAAACCTCCACTACCACAGCTTAAGGCCATTAGCTCTCATTGTGTTGCTAGTTACCCAGGAAAAGAAGCCTGCTCTCACCTAGCTACAACCTCCTTTCCAGTAATTTTTAATGAGCTGTGAGGTCACCCCTGAGCCTCATGTTCTCCAGACAAAATCCCAATTCCCTCAGCTGTTCCTAGTAAGACTTATATTCCAGACCCCTCGCCAGCTTTATTGGATGCGATCCAGGGCTCCAGTGACTTCTTTGTAGTGAGGGGCCTGAAACTGAACACAGTACTTGCGATGTAGTCTCACCAGTGCTGAGTACAGAGGGACAGTCGCCTCCCTGATGCTGCTGACTGCACTGTTTCTGGTACAAAGCCAGGATGCCATTGGCCTTCTTGGCCACCTTAGCGCACAACTGGCTCACATTCATCTGGCTGTCAGCTGACACTGCCAGATCCTTTTCTTCTGTGCATGTGACAATTTCTTCATGTTCTTCTAGTTGCTTCTTCAGAACTTGTTCTAAACACCCCCATTTTCTTTTAGACAAGACAAGGTGGTTCTAAAAAATTCTTACATTATAATAAAAAGCATTTTTAAACAGAGCACAAATAATGGCAGTAAACTCTTCAAATAGTCTTGATATGTCTTTCAGCTAATGGTAATGACAACAAGAAATTCAAAAGTGAAGATAAAATGGATGGGGCGCCTTCTCGTGTTCTTCATATCAGAAAACTGCCTGGGGAAGTGACAGAAACAGAAGTTATTGCTTTAGGCTTACCTTTTGGTAAGGTAACCAACATCTTGATGCTGAAAGGGAAAAATCAGGTAATTTGTTGCTTTTTTTTTTCTCATTTCAAAATATGCTGTTAAAATAGTATTGTAATACGTCATGCTACAGTAGGTATTAATGAGGAAAGAGGAGGAGGGTAAAAACCTTTTTTCTTTCTTTAAATCAGCTTATGCTGTCTTGTAAATTCTGTTTGGGAATGTGGATTGGTTAAGAGCTAAATAAAGTAGGAAGTAGGATAAATACTGCAAGTTAAATACTCAGTTCTGCATTACTTCAGATGAATATTTGGAGGTGGCTTGGCAAATAAAGTTAGTAATTGGAGGATGGTGTCTTATAAAGGTATATGTTTGGCAAAATGTGTTCTCAAAACTCTTGTCTTCTTTCTTGTGCTTCTGATACAAAGGTTGTCTACTTGAAATTTATCAATGTAACTTGATTTTATAGGCATTTTTGGAACTTGCAACAGAAGAAGCAGCTATCACTATGGTTAATTACTATTCAGCTGTGACACCTCATCTTCGTAACCAACCTATCTATATCCAGTATTCCAATCATAAAGAACTGAAGACTGATAATACACTGAACCAGGTATATTTGTTATTACATGGTATTAGAAATAGTAGGCAGTAGGGTATGTGACATAGATACCACCATCAATCAAGAATACCTGTTATTTAAATCTACTTTTGTCCACGTTCAAACACTACAGTAGTTTTACCAGTGGTTTTGGGAATGAAGATTTGCTTTCTCTGTGTTCCTTCGATTAGGATGAATTTACTTAGTGTGAAAGGAAAGATTGTGAAGATGTTTTAACTTAAAATTTTTTCACAAAATAAATTTACGTCTTAGTTTAGAAAGTGCAGGATGAGAAAATGAACTTTTTAACTCTGACACCTGAGATTGTAATATCTCTTTCAATTTCCCTGGTGTTAATGACTAATGCGAATGGCTACATTTCAGTGCTTTGAATGAATGCTCTGGTAGCACTGGTGGGCTCTTCTCCTGTGATCTTCTGTTCCTGATGAAGAACACGTTAATGCTCAGTGCAGAGATAAACGTGCATGTTAGCAGAAGGAAAAAATAATTAGTTTTTGCCTCTGCAGAACATATTTTAAAAGAAAGATAAATGCATATATCTGTTTCTAGTACAGAAACTTTTGTCTTTTTTCTAACGGAAAAATTAGCAAAAATAATGCCTGTGCAAAATAAGTTCTCCTCCTAATGTGATGACCATTTTTTTACAACAGGAAAAAAAGATTAACTTACCACAAGTCAGTGATTATTTCAAGATTGTTTTCTTATGTTCATCTTCAGAAGTGGCTATTTATATAAATCCTAAATGTGGTTTTGAACTTCTGTGAAAAAATGCTCACTGTTGTGTTCATTTAATAGATTATCCTTGTGTAAGCATGTTAAGTCATGCGCGTTCCTTCACCCCATCATGTATTTAGTGTAACTTTAGTGCACTGAAGCATGATGTGTAAGCTTACATGAACAGTGCTATCAAGGGTTGTCTGTTTAAAAGCAACCTCAAAAGTTTTGGTTTCGTAGGTTGCACATTTCAACGTTCTCCAATCACTTAAATACATGAATTTTAATTGATGTCCTTCTTCTGTGCTCACAGACGAAGTAGGAAATAATTATGTAACTCAGCCAAATATTGGAACAGCTTGAAATTTGTAACAATTTTCATGCATTAAGGGGGAAAAAGAATGTCTTTATCAGAAGGCATTTCTGTAGAATTACAGTAGTTATTTGTAAATACAGTTAAATTTTATTTTCTCAGCTAGCGTTCATCAAGTCTTTTAATTTTTTTTAATCCTTCCTTAACTCGTTGATTCATTTCAGTTTGAGCAGCATCATGTAAGTAATCATGTAAGACTGTTGTAATGAAAGTAGTAACTGAAACTTTTTTTTTTTTAACCCACTACTTTTTCTTTCTCAGGAAAAAAATTATCTTTCTGATACTTTCAGTTTTGGCAGCAGCAGCAGTTATGTAGATGTGTGTTGTTGTCATGTCTTCATAAACCTTTGAATTTCTAAAACCATGCTTTTGATATTTAAAAAAACAAACCAGAAGGAAACAGAAGAGCTCATGGTGGAAGAAGATTCTCTGTGTCTCTTTTTAGTAAGAAGGGTAAATAACAGACACCAGGTTGTTTAACTCTCTCTGGATAGTACTTTCTGATACTGTCTGTCTTGTGCATTATTTCTTTGTGTTACATCAGAGAAGCTTGACAGTGTTCAGCATTATTCCTTCTTCACAGAACTTTCCGCGTAATTAAAGTGGCAGTGAAATATTAACTGTACAGACTGTTGAAAAAACAAGATAAAAGATTACTGGCTTCTGCACTTTTTTCCCCTTTAAGAGTATGTAAGGAGTTTTGATATCCACAAAATGATTTTTTAATAGTTAATAGTAGAACAGTAAGCTTGCTACTAGGAAGATTGATATTTGTGCCACTTGAAGGCTTAATTGAGGTATTTGTTTTTATTTTCTCATGGATTGGACTGCATTACATTCATATTCTGACTCATTTTTTTTTCCTGAATAATCATGCAATTTTCTAATTAATTTCTAGCTATTATCTTGAGATAGTAAAATCTTTGTAATTTTCTTTTCAAGCGGGCCCAAGCTGTTCTTCAGGCAGTGACAGCTGTGCAGGCAACAAATGCTCCCATAAGTGGGACCACCGTTAGTGAGAGTGCAGTTACTCCAGCTCAAAGTCCAGTGCTTAGAATAATTATTGACAACATGTACTATCCTGTAACCCTGGATGTTCTTCATCAGGTAAGACAAATTTCATTTTAATTTGACCTTGTAATTAGCAGGAACATGTGTATAAAACTTTGTTTTTGACAGATATTCTCTAAATTTGGTGCTGTATTGAAGATAATCACATTCACAAAGAATAACCAGTTTCAAGCTTTACTCCAGTATGGGGATCCAGTGAATGCACAGCAAGCAAAACTAGTAAGTATAGTTTTCTTTTAAGGGTAGATATGTTTCTGTGCTCTAGACATTTGTACAATGTTTGCAGAACCCTGACTACTGTAGTTGTAATATTCCTCCTCTGTTTTTGAGAGTTCTTTAAAAATAAAAAATAATTGGGAGTTTATATCATTTTTACAACAATCAACAACATGTCATCAAGACCAGACATTTTGAATTAAGTGATAGTGATGTGACGGCATCCATGATGAGAAGAAAAGTAAACCAGAGGCAAAGACTAGATTTTGTGCTTATGTGTGTGATATATATATATATATATTTTTATATATAGACAATTTTTTATTCTAACTTTTAAGAGTTAAATATAATTAATTTATATTCTTTAACATTCACATGCAGTTTGGGTTTTTGGAAGGTTGGTTAAAATTGATGTGCTGGTTAAGTGTTGCTTGGCAGCGTAGAAAGAGTGACTTACCCAGAGGTGACAAAATAGCTGAGGATATCATGTAAAAGTGAAAAGCTCACGCCTCAGATGAAGTTGATAAAGACTACCTAGTAGTAGAGGAAACAGAAAGCAGGCTTTGGTTTCTACTGTGCTTCTTGAAGAATGACGACTATTGAGATAAAGACTGTCATTAAAAAGTGGAGGATTGTTATTTTCATTCTTCTCACCATATGAAATAATAAATGTTGGTTAAAAGTATAAGGCCGCCAAGACAGGGAATGGCAAAAAATGAGAGATCTATTCAAAAGGCAGTGTATAAGTGCTCTTCCTTTTGAGAAAAAGTAATGGTAGCATAGGACAAGCAGATTTTTCAACTTGGTTTATGATATCTGCTTTAAGGTAGTCTACCTCAGGAAAGTAGTCTGGAAATATTTGTAGACTTTGGAGTCCAGTTTTAATTAGGGATGTTGTTTACTGACATGTTATATATAAAATACTAGGTGGGAGGGGTGTGTGAATGTATTACTGTAACTACTGGGGAAAAAAAAATTGCGTGGATGGGATGCAGCTGTCAGGTTTGTAAATAGGCTTAGAATGACATAAAAACTAGATCTTTAACCTGAAATTACTGTGGGAATTGACTGTAAGTCATTTGGATTCACAATTGAGATACGTTTTGATCCCAGTGTTCTTCAGGTATTTCTTACGGATATTGTAATTCAATTTTGATCAACATTTGGGAAGTTATTTTTCAGTAATAGTTGATATGTTTTACTTCACATTTTTGACTTCGTTTTTTGAATCTTAAATGTGTTATCAGAAGATTTAATGGAAAGACGGCATCTGTGAAATGAACTGTAGCAATCTGAAAATTATCAGTATATTTCTAGAACTGTATTCTAAAAGAAGTGACAAATAACACGGGATGAGGTATGTAAAAGTATGAAAGGAAATAAAGAATCTGCTGATGCTGACTTCTGATAAATTGATACTAGCTTGCGGGACACTATTGGTCATAATATTCAAAACAAAACAACAACACCTGTATTTGCTCTGGTTTTGCATGTTTTAACTGGGGTAGCTGTTCACTAATGGCTGCTCATGTGTGAGTGACTAAACTTAATTGAATAACAGTGAAACCTGCATGTATAGTTATTGTCAGAGTTATCTTAAAACCTAGCTTAGTGACAAATTGAAACAGGAATCGGTTTATAGCTTCTTATTTTAACCGATTTCTAAGTAAATGCTTTAATGAGGGAAGATTTGATTTTTATTTTTTCTCCTTCCTCTTTTCTCTCCCAGAGATAGAGTAAAATTGATACTGTTGTTATGATTAAATTAATGTGATAAAACATGAAGTCACCCAATCAAAACTGAGAAAAGGAAAGAAAGTCACACAATAAGGAAAAAGCCTACAGTTTAAATTCAGCTGGAAATAGTGGTAGAAGCAAGAGGATGTGGTGGCAAATTTAAGTTACATGGCATTCAAAATTAAAATCATGGTAAAAGAGTAAAGAAATTTTCAATTTGTTTTCCGTCAGTTGTTACTGTAGAAGATAATGGGGAAATTTAATTTTCCACTGGCACTCTTCACAGGAAATCAGAATGTGGTCTTAATAGAAATTGAAGACTTTATTAAGGAAGTTAAAAGAGCAATTTGAAAAACTCAAGTGATGTAAGTACCAAGGAGAGATGTTATTCATTTGAAGGTTCTGAGAAACTAGTGACACTGGCAAGAATGTACAATATGAAGCCTCTAGCCCTGTGGGACTCCTTCTGCTACCCGAACGAGCAAGTAGTGAAAAATTACATTCCTGTTCCACTTGCTGTGTGAGAAACTCATTTCCTGTAAAAGTAGGCTGTGGCTACACTGATTCATGTTTCATCACCACCTTCAGATTGGGTCATTATAGTTCATTATATCTGTAACTAAAGGTAAAGACAAACTTGAGATTACTTTCAGTGCAGCAGTCTAGCCATGGTTTGGAGAAAGTGTTGAGAATGTGCAGCACTAGAGCACACCGAACTATTTTGCTTCCTCTGGTGAAACAAAGGGATATTCTGGAGGTGTCTGTATTCATATGGAAATTTTTTGTGCATCAAAGCCAGCAGATTTTCACAGTAAATGATAGTGCCCTCAATAGAAGCAGAAAGCCTGCTTAGGTTGCTATGAAAGTAATGCCTTCTATGTATTTCCATGGAAACGACAACAAATACAAAGAGCACAGTAACAGTATTTGATAGAGCAAATCCTCAGCTACAAAACACTGCTTTTCAACAGTCACCACCATTAGCTATGTGTTTTTGCCAACAGTGAACAAGAGCCTGTGTGTTGCAGTCATAGAAATCTGTGCCAGCAGAGGTGACCCATTGTTTCATGGGTGCTGTGATGGCATTGTTGCTAGGAAAATGTTGCCTGTGAAGTCCGTCTTTCGTTGGCCTTATAAGAAGGAAGTCAGAAGGTGCCAAATCTGAACTATACGGTGGGTGTGGTAAGACAAGCCACAAGTGTGCTGCGTGGTCTTCAGACTGCTATGGGGCCTGAAGCTAAGAGTATGGTTATCTTCTCTGTCAGACTCGGAAAGTTTGAGCCTTTAGCTTAGTTGGTGTCGTGATGAAATGGTCAGAGTTGATGGTTTTCCAGGCTCCAGGAAATCCAGAAAGATAACCCCTTTCCTTTCTTAAAACACAGCACAGATCAGTTTACCTGCAGAGGGCTGCATTTTGATCTTTTTCTTCAATGAGGAATTCACATGTCTCTGCTCCATTGACTGCTGTTTTCACTCCAGCTCACACTGGTGACATTGTGTCACACCACTGGTAACAGTGTGATCCAGGCAAACTGTCACCTTCAGCTTTGTATTGGATCTGTAAATCCTGACAGGCTTGCATACCATGTTCTTTCTCTGCCTATGTGGGCATCTGTGGGACACATAGCTGATGAAAACTCAGATATTCCAGTTTTGCTGCTATAGTTTCCAATGCAGTGTAGCCAATACTTAGTCCATACACAGTTCCCTGATCATATTCTGCCAGTTTGCCTCGATGAGCTGAGTGAGACGCTCTCATTTGGTCACGTGACAGGTGTGCATGGTTGACTGGGAACGTGACTTGTTTTTCACTTCACTTTTGCAGCTGCTGAAATGTACCATCCACTCCCTCACTACGCTAGCATTCATGTTGATCTCCGTAAATGTTCAGCAACACTGGGGTATGTTGGTGCAATTTTTTTCTGCATGGAGGAATTCAGCAGCACTTCTTTGCTTCATGCACACTTCCATGTCAGACACCATTCTGTCAGACTGCCCCTCTGCTGTTGTCTGTCACACAGCAGCGATGTATAACAAAATATTGATGGGGAAGGTTCGACCTCTCCTGCCGTACTACTGACATCCATCTCCACGTGGACCAGCATGATCAGATAGGAGGCATCGCTTTTGGAGCAGCCCTTGCAAACATTCGAATGCCACTAATGCCATCTTTTGGTTTGATTACTGGGAGTAATGCTGTGCATGAAAGTCATCTTGACCCAGTATGAGTTAAAAATATCGCATATCTACTGAGTTGCTGTTGTGCTTAGTCATTTGAACCTAAGATGGCATGTAGCTGTTCTGGAGTACCAAGAATTAGTTTCTCTACAGAAGTTCTTTTAAGGTCTGACTCCACACTGGAGATGCCTTCTTTCCAGTTTCTTTGAGTGACTGCTTCATGGTGGTTCTTCTGCTAGCAGTCTGCAGAAAAGACCTCTGCCAGGTTTTGTCACCGTAAAATCTAATGTGAGCTTCCTGTGGTCATTTTCTAGAAAATGACAGTAACAACATTTCCAGTTAAGATATTTAGCTTCAGCACAGTTACCCTTTATTATGTTAATGATTTTCATGCCCCCTGAATCCTGAAGAAGATTATTGTGCTGAAATGATAGGCAGTGCTTGGATCAACTGACGAGTGCCAGATTGTGCCCATTGTGTTAGAAAGCCCAGCAAGTGCAGTAATAGTGTTTGTTTCCTGGATGCTCCAGCTTTGTAGTGAAAAATGTGATGTGTAACTGGTCTTTTAATGAAAGAACTGCATGCAAAGAATCTTAGTTTTGAATAATGGTCTGTGGTTTATAAACACTGTTTAGCCACAGAAACTTCTTGCATCCAAGGCATTTGTCTGAAAAGAAACAATTTTCGTTCAAATACTTATCCAAAGGATACACTAAGGATGCATCTCTCCCAAGAGAGATTTACAGTATAACCTTTGAGCTGAGTTGGAGTATGTTGTGTGAGGATCACATTTTCTTTTTTTAAATCTTAAACTACTGTGAAGTATTTGAAAATATTGTTTCTAGTTCCTTTTTGTAGTTTCACTGTGGCTTTTGGTTACGTACATGCTTCTGTTAAGTACTGACCTGTTTGGAAACTACAAACACAGGTAGTATTTTGGCTTGCTATTTTTTTATTTTAAGGCTAAGGATTTTTATCAACATCCTTCTTCTAGCCATAAATTAGAGTCTACAGACTCCACATGGAGGTATAATGAGAGTCTTGATTGCGTTGTAAATACTTAGTGCTTTCCTGTGATTTGGACTCAGCTAAAAAGGAGCTGCCTTTTGGTTCCAGTCATACCTAGTTTTCATTATTATAAGAATAATGTTTTCTGTGTGATAATTGTGTTGTTCCAGAGTAAACTCTAGTTGTGTAAACTGGACTTAATCCCTATGTTAGTGGATTTTAGATGATAGGCTTTGCATTGCCAATATTCTTTCATCTGAATTTCAAGCAGAAGTATTTGTTGAGACAAATATCTAGATTGTCAAGTTTTTTTTTTTTTTTAATTTTTATTTATTTGCTCTGTGTTCTTTTATCTTCCTACTACTTGAATGTTCTAGTAGTACTAACTTATGTGTTCTTGTACATTGGCTGCTAATGCTGTTAATTCTTTTAAACAATTTCATAAGCCCTGGTGATATATTAGCTGAGATAATACATCTTGTAGGAAAGGACAACCTTGATGACCCAGACAGAGTGAGGCGTCTGTGGGACGTTCAGTTCCCAGGTGCATTGCTGTATGAAAATAGCTGTGATGCTTTCCATGACCAGTGGGCCTAATAGTTTTGTGCAGCACTTAATTCAAAGTAGTTCATCTTTTCAGAACTTGAATGTGTTGGGAAGTTTTGTACGTATAACTAAGCTAGGTTGCTTTGGTCCAGAGCTGATGTATTTTTGTCTAGTATTACTCAAGAGAAACAAAAGATTTAACTTTCGTATTTGAAAATCGAGAGTTTCTATTGAATGATCTGGGTGTTTCTTGGAAACATAAAATAACTTGCTTTAAAAAGTTTTATTCTGTGTAGCATTAACAGCTATACGTTGCTATATGGAAAGCATGCTCAAAATTTCAGATGGAATTAAATTAGTCTGGTACAGAATGATAATGATTGAAGCATATATAATTAGGTCTTAATGGAGAATGTTTCCACATAGATGTGGTACCATGGTAAGAGCTGGTGTGAATTCTGTTGTTAGGCATCCACTAAAAAGTAAGAATTGTGAAAATGGAACTTTTTTTTTATTATTAAGGTCTAGCATTAGACTAGAAGGTAATGTTTTTTTTTTTGTTTGTTTGTTTGTTTTTGTTTTTTTTTTTCAATTTTGGCACTAATTCTAAAGGGAGAGTAAAAGGAGGCAGGAACAAATATGCTGGTTTGGCACAGAGCCATTTACTTTATGGTGCGTAAGCCTAGATTTTTTGATATCTTAAGTCTGCTTTTTATAGACTTCTAGTGTGATTATTTATTTTTTTTACTTTTTGAGAAATGTTTGGCATTTTACCTGCTTTAAAGCTATACTGTGAAATACATGTTAAATTATATTCAGCAGAAGTTTGACTGTGCTGATTTCTCTGCACCTTGGTGCATGAACAATCTCTTGATAAGAGAAATAAACATCAAGCATCCTGGAATCATGTTAAGAGAGGTTAATGCATTGTAATCTTAATAGGTTTTAAGCTAGACAGTAAGAGGGATAAATAGTTAAGTACTGACCAACCCATATTGTGTATTATTTTAAATAAACTGTTTCCTTTTTGCAGGCCCTGGATGGTCAGAATATTTATAATGCTTGCTGTACTCTACGGATTGATTTTTCCAAATTGGTGAATTTAAATGTCAAGTACAACAATGATAAAAGCAGGGACTACACTCGTCCTGATCTTCCGTCTGGTGATGGACAACCAGCGCTGGACCCTGCTATTGCTGCAGCATTTGCAAAGGAGACTTCTCTTCTAGGTATGACTCTGACTCTATTGTTATGTGTTGCAAAGTCCTTGATGAAGATATTAATTACTCTTAAATTGCAATGGTGTCCTGAGGCCTATTAGGTTTACATTGCAATGTGAATTGTAGTAATACAGTTGCATTATCTTTAGAAGCCCTGGAGAAGTGAATGAGAGAATGCATGACAAATGAGAAATGCACAAACGATAAATAAGCTCTCACTCTGAATGCATGTCTTCAACTGCAATGTTGTCCCTAACAACAGAAAAATAAAAGGGATGTGACACAAATAACTTAAACTTCAGTTCTTGAAAGTGTCCTGAGCATCAGTGAAGTCAGTCATATTTATCTTGGTTATTAATGGAGATCTTATATTGGAAGAGAGGGAGGGACCATTTCTGATTCTGCTAATGACTGGTTGGGTGAGTTTTGTGTATCTTAACTTTGCTTCATCTGGCAAATACAAGTACTCTGATCTTTGGGTTAGTTTCTTCTTTCATTTTTATTGCCTCCTGCTTGCCTTATTATCACAGACTTCAAGCTCTACTGCTGAAAAACTTCACGAAAGGGTTCTGTTAATATTGTTGTTGCCTTAGCCAATCAAATAGTTGTCATAATGAGAATTATACTTGTTTGAATATGGAAGTATGAGGCTCTCTATGGAAGGAAAAAAAAAAAAGGCATAAAATACACGACATCAAAATGAAACGAAAAAAACAGAAAAAAACTTGAAAGCCTGAATGGGTTTATGACTGTTTTTATTCACATACTCAAAAGGAGAAAGGTGAGAACAGCTGTAAGTTCAGAGAGTTGTAAGATGAAGGTTTGGAAACTATGATGTGTGAAGTATGGCAGAATGATTGCAGTGACCTTCCTCCTGCTTTTTTTTTATCTTCTTATTTTATATTTGTATTTGCTTTAGAATTGTCTTCTCTAATGTCAGTAGTGATAAAGATAGCTTCAGAGTGTACTTAGGTAGATTATCTGCCATTCAGTATTCACTGATGGTTCCCAAAGGGTGTGCTTTGCCACAAGAGTGGAGCTCCATTTTGAGCTCGATGTGATGCTCTTCAAGTTCTAGTATGTTTGCAGCAATGCTGTGCTGCACCTGTGGCTTTCTTGCTAAAACTCTTGCTGTAGCCGTTTTTAGTATATGTGTATGAGATCTCTTAGCAGAAAATGTGATAAGGCTTCAGTTTTAACCTTGATTTCTGTTACATTATGCTGTTAAATAGTGGATTGTTGTACAGCTTTCATGCTTTTTTCTAAAGTGTATAAAGTAATTTGTAAGTCAGAAGTGAGGTTTAGGTTAAAATGTTTTATCAGTAGAGGTTTAGTGACAGGATGACACTCTTGTATTAGTCTTGGTGCTTCAGTCTTTATGATTGAGTATCATGTGTGTGTACGTATACCTCGGTTACATTCTGCATGAAATTAACCCTCTTCTTCAGAAACTGTAACTTCGTGATGTGCTATAGTAAAACCTAAAATGTGAAACTTCTCGAGCTATTGAGCATAGATTTTCAAAGAACCTCCTATTGCCCCCCCAAAATCCTTCCAGGCTAAGTATAAGAAGGCATAGAGCGAAGTAATGAGTACCAGGAGGTAGTGATTACTTGACATAAGGTCATAAAGAAGTTTGTAGCCCAGCTAGGGACTAAATCCAATTCAGTCATAGTTTTACGTATCTACATTAAAATGATTACTTGTATTACCTATTATTTTCACACATAATTTTTAGCATAGCTTTAATTTGCCTATTAATAAAATATCATTAGTAATTTGTACTTGAGAAGTTGCACAAAAAAAAAAAAGCTGGGAATAAGTAATGTGTGACATGCTGTGTTGAGGATAAAAGCTCAATGGCTAGGAAGAGGGGTCTATAATGTTTGTATGTTTTCATTAATATCCAGAAGAAGCCAAAGCCTGATTGTTGGAAGCTAAAATTAAGTTAACGATGACAAAGCTTTCCAATAAGTGCATTTCTTGATACAGTATCAACAGTTTCTAAATAGTTGTAGGTAAGTCATTAAAAAAATCAATGAGTTGAGTGATATCAATAACCATAATCTAAATTTTATTCATAAAACAAGGTTTTACTTCTATTGAGTGGCAAATTTTAGAGACCTATAAAATAAACCCATAAAAAATGCAAATCTTGTGGTATCTCTGACCCTCCCAGGAAATGAGAACTGTGTGCTGTATAACCAAGTAGAAAATTGTTGCACGTGTAAATTATCCAGGCTTTCATGGATTGTTACTTGTTCATATACTGCCTCCTCAGCTGTGATGAAGCTAAGTTGTCAGAAATCTTGGAGACTGTAAATTGGGCATATTTTCAATGAGTCTTACTATCTTTTGAATGGAGGGCAAAATTGCTAATGAACCAAATGGGGCTGCTTTCAAATGGCTGTCGTGGTCATCATATCAGAATTAGGCTTTCTTTTTTTATTTCCCTGGAATGTGTTTCTTTTTATAAGTGAAGTAGAGAAAAGTTATGGAAGATCTTCCAGGGAAAAAAAAGCCTTTTGTGTAAATAGCAGCTATATTGTAATAGCAGCTACATAAAAATGAAATGCTAAATAAAATGCTAAACAAAAACTACTTATAATTGCAAGATATATAATAGTTCAACTTCAATTTAGCTGTTTATTACTACAGCTAGAAATTTGCTGTTGTTACTACTCCTACAGTATTATTTCTTGCTGTCTTTTCTAGGTTTTTTTATTACAACTTTTCATTAATTGCCTCTTCTTAAAATTCTTATTAAATGAATCTGTTTCAGAGGATAACAATTGAAAACATTTCTATATGAATGCTGTTAAATTAATCTTTGCTTTTTACTTCATCAGTAGGACCAAAAAAATCCTGTAGAAAGTTTAATACTATGAAGAATTTTGACTTTAAAATATCAGTTGTGTTATTACATCCAATTACGGAAAAAGCCTTAACTTGGCTAGGCATCTTCAAATTCTTTTATGTCTCAACGTGCTGGACTAGCTTAGAGTTTCTGAAGTTATGGAGAGGTGCTTCAAACACATTAAAAGACTTGAAGCACGCTAATATTCTGACATTTTCTCGTACCTAAATGGTTGCTGCTAAGCTAGTATAAAGCAAGTTGTTAGCTGAAAATCTGTCATACTTTTCCATCATTCTTCATATTTGTGTCTCTGTGACCTCCACAGTAGCTGAGTGTAAACAAATTTGAAAGTCAGTATATGTGATACAAAACACTTAAATTACATTTCCAAACTATAACTTGTACAGCAGAATTTTATTTTTAAAAACTCTTACTTGAGAATTTGCATTTTATATTCCCAGATTTTCCTTTGTATCACAGTCTGCTTTTGGCAGTAAGCTGCTTTGTTTCATCTGGAAGGGTACTTTTTTTTTTTTAACTGTCTCTTTTATAAGTAGGTTTTTCTTGAAAGTAAAGCCATATTCTTCAGTTTTACCCCAAGAACAAAACGAACATTTGTGTTAGATATATAGGATTGTACTTACACTTTCCTGTATCACAGAATTGGTTTTAGGAAGCAGTAATCACCATGTGTTTGTATGCCAGCAGCGGTTTAATTTGATATTCTCTCTCTGACAGATGCTGTTACTTCTATGTTCACTCATAGAAGACCTAGGACAGCCTTATAATGGATGATCACATGTTAGCATGCCTGAGAGAAGTACTTTCCTAGACCAGAAGTAGCTAGTGCTTGGCTTATGTGCTGAAGCATATTATGTATCACTTTATTTAATATAATTGGCTGCTGTTTCCATAGACCATCAAATACTGTTTGAAATGCTGATAAGGGCTTTTGTCTCAGTGGAAGAAGGACAAGGTTTTTCTTTCTGTTTTGTGTTACAGACAGTTCCACAAATATCACAAGTGATGCGATAAAAAGATTGTGTTTATTGCCTCAATTCAAGTAAATTTTCCCTTTATCTTGTCCTGAGAGATTACTAGAATTTTCTAAATATTTTAATTACTTAGTACTTTATATATCTCTGATTTGGTCTACGAATGCTAATGCTGTGCTATTGATTTATCAGAAAGCATTCTGTATCTTTAATTTCCTTTTTTTTTTTTTTTTTTGGATTTTTGTTTTTATTTTTGTGTGGGCTTTGACAAGAAATGACCAGAACATATTTTTCAAATCATAATTGATCAGTAATACTCTGTAAGAACTTCAGAAAAACGGGGATTTATGTCCTATTCTCTTTGAGAAGACATTTGTCCAGTCTGGGAACATCTCATTTTTTTTCAATTGTTTGATTTTTCATCAATTTGTTTAGCAAAAGGTAACTAAAGAGTAGAAATAAATATAGATGTATTTTCTAGATAATAATGGTACAATAACCTCTTCCCCCCCCATGGTAAGAACCTTCCTCTCCCTCCATGTGATGCTAAATCTGGGGTATTTGCCATTAATACAGATGACTGTATTTACTATTTTCTGCTTAATATTTGGTCATTGACTGAAACTGAAGAACTTTGCTTTTTCCTGTTGTCTTCCTCTGAAATAAATCTGGGAAGAAAGTGTTGCATAGTGTAAAAGATGATATTTAGGCTGTCTACCTGGTGTGTTGTAAGACTGATCAGAAACTTTGCTAGCTGAGCATCATCGTACAAACATCTGAAATTTTGCCAAAATGTGACATCGGAGAAGCCAATTTCAGAAGAGAAAATAAAACACTTCAAGTTCTGTTCCTGTTCTTTTTACATATTTTGCTACATAAATGTCCTTTTACTGGACTCTGAAATATGCAAATAAGAATTTGACTAACATATGATAAGGGTATTCTTGTATGGGCTGTCTGCAGTGCACGTATGTTGCCGAAATCTTTCACAGCTCCCAGAATTAGCACACTTGCCAGGTACAGCAGTGACATCACCATGAGAAGCATTCAGATTTCTGTAGGATCCGAGTTTCCTTGGAGGAGTGGTAAAGTGATTTTTTTAGGGAATTAGATTATTATAAAACCAGTTTGCTGCAGCCTTGTGCCTCCTCACCTCATTTATGGTGTGAGAGATGGATAGGCCTTTTCTCTTGACCAGCTCTGGAGTATGAAGCATGAAGTTGAAGTGAACAATACCTTTCAAAGGGTGATATAAATACAGTGGGGAACAGTTCTGGTGCACAAGAATGCTTGTTTGAAAAGAGAAGAGAGTAGTTTTTATACCTCATCTCTTTGAAGATTTGATTTGAATCATATTTAATATTTCTATCCCTCATGTTCACTTAATTCATTTTACAACTCTCTGGACACCTACAGCAGCTAGAATGGACTGCTTTCTAGAGTCATATTCAACACTTGTACTGATATAGGTGCTGTTTTCATAAGCGACTTGTGTGTGTTTCGTAAAATATGCTTTATTTTAAAATTAGGGCTTCCTGTTGCAGCTGTTCCAGGAGCTCTGAGTCCTCTGGCTATTCCAAATGCTGCTGCTGCAGCTGCAGCTGCTGCTGCTGGCCGCGTGGGAATGCCTGGAGTCTCAGCCGGTGGCAATACAGTTCTCTTGGTTAGCAATTTAAATGAAGAGGTCAGTGAAATAATTTGACACTGTTTTTTCCCCTCTTTACCCATACTTCATTGGTCATCATTTTATTTCTTTGCATTTGGCCTCTTATGTTTGGATTTTAAGCTCATGGTATTTTTGCTGTTATATTTATTACCTTACTACTCTCCCAAAGTTAATTTTGAAGTCTTTGTTAAACACTTTTGTTTTCTGAGGTAGCTAATGACTTAAAATGTGCTTTGATAGTTGGCTACCTGTTTATTCTTAAAGTATGGTAACTATTGCATGTTTGACATTTGAATTGAAAGTTTTCTGTTTTAATTTGCAATTATGATCATTTAAACTAGAATTCCTGTTTTGTTTTTTCTAATTGTTTGCTGCTTCATTTCATGCTTGTATCTCACATTGTAAGGTCTTAATTTATGTGAACTACTCTAACACATTTTTCTTTAAAGGTTCTCCCAAAGATCTTGACGAAGCTCTTCCAGTCTCTCTTAGTAATTTTTTTCATTGCAGTTTCTCATTTGTCTAAAAATAATAAGGAAAAATTGACAAAGCACTTTCACCTTAACTGTATCTTTCTTGCTAACTTTGAAATCTAAAGGAGTTTGTTTGGTTATGCATCTTTACCGTCCTTTATTTTTATTTTGATGGCTGTGAAAGCTGGTATGAAATGTGGGAAGTTTGTTTCAGTCTAGCTGTTCCATTTTTAACTGGCCTCTGTCACTAGAAATCATTAAGCTTATTTTATCATCTGGTACTATTTTGTCATCCACAGTCTTGCATGCTAAAATGTTTGAGGTCAGAGTGCCATTTTGGAAGATTATTTTGCCTGCATTTCATAACCAGCCATGCTTATGCAGTTGAAGTTTAAATTTCAAAATTTCTATTGCATGCTTTTTTATTTATTTTCGTGTTGATGAAATGCTGTAGTTTACTCTTGATATGAATGTACTTTACCCATATTTGTCTTGGGTGACTACATTTTACTCAGTTTTTCTTGTACAGTACATAAACCAACCATTTTCTGACCAAATTCCTGCATTTCCTATGTACTGACCTATATTTTATTTTTTTGTTCCCCACTTATTTTTTTTTCTTCTGCATTGCTGTTTCCCCTTCCCCATTTCATCCTTTTCCCTTTGTGTTCAACTTCCCTTTCCTTGTCTTTGCCCAAATTCCCATGCCCCTCCCCATTTTACCCTTTTCTCCTCGTCTTTGTCTACGTTCCCTGTCTTCATTCCCTATGTTCATGCTTCTGTGCTTGAACAAAATGTTCCTCGGACCAACTTGCCCCAATTAACCGCCTTGAAACCATGATCCATGACCACCTCACCATTCTGCGGGAACCACCCTTCGTTATGGATGATCTGTTCATCTCCGCTCTTCCTCGACTCTTCTCTCTTCTTGTCTTACGCTGCTTGCTCTTCTCTCCTTCTAAAGATGGTTACGCCCCAAAGTCTGTTTACCCTCTTCGGTATGTTATTGTTAGCACTATACTTTTATTATTGATTTGATTTTGTTCTGTTTTGTTTTTTTTTTTGTTGGTTTTGTTTTGTTTCACCTTAATTCTTATTTGTAGCTAGCACTTTGGCTTAAAATTGAGTAGTAAATCTTTTGCTGTTTTTCTTTTGCTGTTTAAAACTCTCCATAGACACAGATTTTCTTTTAATGCATGCTAATATATTTTGCATGGTCTTTAATTTAATATCACTCACATAGCTTTGAGGGTTTATCAGAAATTCTTTTCAAAACTCACTATTCAAAATCTTTATCTCCTTTATTCATTTGTGAGAGTGTTGAGTCCGAGCGAGTGATCTTGTTGCTGTCTGAATGTTCCATTGGTATGTGAAAATATGTAACTTAGTTGACTGGCTTTAAAATAAACTTTTTCTTTTGGGTTACCTTTGACTTTGAAAAGGTGTTTATGGTGATGTGCAGCGTGTGAAGATTTTATACAATAAGAAAGACAGTGCTCTTATACAGATGGCTGATGGAAACCAGTCGCAGCTGGGTAAGATTAGATTTCTATTTATATTCCCAAAAAATTAAGCTATGTAAAATGAGGTGAACTGAGGGTGTTTACATCTGAAAGTTCTTGTATCGTAGTTACTGACAAGGTCTGAAATCTTATTACATCTACGTGTATTTCAAAAGCTTGACAGTGTAGAATAATTCAAAAGTTGAAACTGGCTTTCCAAATCCTCATGTACTCTGCCGAGATAGTTTTCGATCAGTCCTCTAGCACACTGACTGATTTTCTCGTGGTTTTTTTTCTTGTTTGAAGGGCTGTGTATAATGTGTCACATGCTACTGAAAAGCAATACTACATTGAGAAACCTGTTGTCTCTTTCAGCTATGAGCCATCTTAATGGACAAAAAATGTATGGGAAGATAATTCGTGTTACCCTTTCTAAACATCAAACAGTTCAACTACCTCGAGAGGGTCTTGATGATCAAGGGCTGACGAAAGATTTTGGTAATTCACCTCTGCATCGTTTCAAGAAACCTGGTTCAAAAAACTTCCAGAATATATTCCCTCCGTCTGCAACGCTTCATCTATCCAATATTCCGTAAGTTTTGCCTGTCAGAAAGCCTGGGGTATTTTGTGTTAATCGTAACACAGTGAATTAATTTCTGATTCTGCTTGTTTTTTGTCTGTAGACCATCAGTAGCAGAAGAGGATTTACGCACACTGTTTGCTAACACTGGAGGCACTGTGAAAGCATTTAAATTTTTTCAGTAAGTAATTTTTCTGTACGAAGTTTTAACAAAAGGCAGACTAATTGCATTTTTTCCTGTGTGTCTTAAGTGCCTAGGGCATAGCAAACATTAGGAACAACTCCTGTAGTGTTCGAGTTCCTAATGCCATTATTTTGTTTCAGAAGAGATCACAAGATGGCACTTCTTCAGATGTCAACAGTAGAGGAAGCTATTCAGGCTTTGATTGATCTTCACAATTACAATCTTGGAGAAAATCACCACCTGAGAGTTTCTTTCTCTAAGTCAACTATTTAAAAAGGCAGATTGAAAATGAGGGTGTATTGCATTGTTTGGTGTTGTCACCTATTGACTGTTCCGGAGAGTGGGGACCAGAGTTTGTCTTCTATTTTTGGATTTTCTTTCTGTTTTCCATGCTGTTATCATTCCTTGGTTGTTTAAAAAATAAGAAAAAAAAAAAAATTAAGAGCAGTGATACTAACTGCTGTTGTCCAACTGTTGTTTAGATGAACCATCACATTGTTTAAAAGATTTCAAGTTAATACCACAGTTTTTCAACTTAGTTGACATACGTGCCTTATAAAGGAAAGCGAGTAATGCTGGAATTGCATAACTAGTGAAAGCGAATTTGGTTGTGTGGGGCACATTGTTACATGATAATTTGAATATGTTTAGGCAGGGGTGTGTAAAAAGGTTAAGCTTTTGTTTCTCCTGCTTGGAATTGATTTCTTTATCTGCTGGCTTGTCACTTAATTTTTATTTGGTAAGATACATTGTACTGAAAGAGTAAAACATTGCTATTTGATTTTGCTACTTTTTGCTTTATGCTTTTTTTTTTTTTTTTTTTTTTTAAAAAAAAAAAAAGAAGGCCTTTAGTATTTTATGATTCTGGTCTAGATTCAGTTATGAATGTAGGCATTTGTTACAATTACCAAGGTGCAGAATATTAATTTCTTAAAGGACAAGAAGTGACTTCTGTGACTTTGAGCCCTATGTGGAAAGCATTGTGGAATCTTAACCTTTTTGTACACACTCTTGTGGGATGTATCATATAAATGTCAGCACTAAGTAATGTCTTGTTTGTGGCTGAATATTTTTTGTAGATGTTTTTGAAGTTGACATGACTTATGTGCATTTAAATATATATTGCCATCTTTAGTTTGTAATTAAGATATGGAATATGGTTGTGGATTTCTGAGCATGTACAGACTGGTCAAGCTAGTTCAGGAAATGGTGCATGTTTTTTTCAATGATAAAGAAAGTTCGCTGCAAACAAACACTTGCAGGAAATTTTGTGGCAGTTTTTTAAAACTGACAACCAGGTGGGACCAAAGTTTATGTGCCTTTAGTCTTAATTTACCTTGCATTGTAATATTCAGTTTTAATAAATCTCTTCAAAATATTTTATATTTAGAAATTAATCTGACTTTACTATAAACATTGCTCAGAATCTACAGATCCAGTTAATTTGAAAGCAGTTCTCTGTCAGTCTGAACTGTTACCTTGATTCTGTTTAAATGACCAATACTTTTTGAAATTGATGTACTTAGTTTCAAGATTCATAGATTCTGTTATCTATGTAGAGAAAATGGTCATGTATATTTTCTATTAGTTGAGTTTTTACATCTTTAGAATTGTAAAATTCAGTATAGTTTGAAAGTGGCACAATTAAAAATTAATTTTCTAACAAAGTTGGGAGGTTTGACGGTTGTTTAATTTCATTTTGTGTGTACTCTGCTTACCTCTGTAGCATGCTCAATAAACACTTCTGTAGCTCTGTATTCACCTTTTCTGTCTTTCTCTGCTGCTTTCTCTCTCCTCCTCCTCCTCTTTGTTTTTCACTTCTACTGTGCTTCTTAATTCATGTTTATTCTCTGCCAGGGTGGGAAAAGCATAATAATTAATAATGTGATGGCTTTTAGCCATAAATCTGATGCTGTGAAAAATACCAGATCTTTCAGAAAGATAGTGACCCTTTTGCAGGTGTATGCAAACAAATTAAACATTTCCCACCCTGTTATAACCTATTGCTTTAAAGACATAACTTTTATTGTAGTTTGTTAGCTTTCTTTTTCTATCTTTTTAGTTTTTAAGCAGATGTACGCACTAATAGGTCTCAGGTTTGCCATGCTCTCTTGCTGCAATTTCATTTTTCATTTTTTGTCTGCTAAAAAATTCCTACTAATCATACAGTATAAGTATACTCATGGGATGAAATAACAAGGTTGGTAGTTTGGTGGACCATGTGTTTCTAGATCATGACATTTCAACCCTTTAGAGACATGGGTACAAGTGAATGTAAAAGCAGTTCGGGCACTTTAATAGTGTTTCAATGTGCTATTTTGGGTTGTCATTCTTTTTTGTGTTTCATGTGGTTGTTTTTCTCAATTAAAAATAGGATTAAAATTTTTGCACAGCCCCCTGTTAAGAGTGAGTGTTCAATTTGGAAGCATTATGGAGGCAAAAAGCTATTACACTTTTCAATTCAAAGCATTTTTTTCTGTCACTTCTCCAATACAACTGCTGTAGATTTATTGATGTCCGATTGCTTTGACCCGTTGCCTGGCTTTTGGGTTGGCTCTGAAATCATTAAATAGCTCTCAGCTATTTAAAAGTCACAGTATAACTAAGGGGGGCTTTCATTAGTCTTCACTGTGTGAAACAGAATGTATTAAGCTCTACCTGCTTTATCAGGGATACACCCAGGTTCTGAATTGTATTTCAGATACCACAGTGATCACCTGAAATACTGGTAAAATCAGGCTTGTCCATAAATTAAAGTTCTGAATCAAAATATCAAGCCTGAAACACCTACAGGTGTGAGTGCGACTGTCTCACAGCTGTCTTGAGCAGTACATGTGGAACTCATGAAGCTGTTCTCTCAGGCTTCTCATCTGTGCAGTATGGTGCTATATATGTGCTAAAATGTTTCATATTTCAGAGCATGGTCACATGTTTCATATAGAAATATGATCTGAAACTTAGAATTCTGTGGGTACTCTGAAAAATCTGTCTGCAGTACTTGAATGTTTTCAAATACAGAGTGGTGCTTTGTTTTGTTTCCTACTTTTGATAGTTATTTCCTTAAAATAGGTTTCTGTACTCTTTTCTCAGATTAAAAAGTTCTGTGACAAAGGTCTCGAGAGAGAACAGATGTTGAATTTGATTTGATACAAATTCAGTAGTCTTTGTTCTTTTCATTCATATTTTTATTTGTATCAAAATTCGTTATGTGAAAAATTGAAGCAATTATTGTCATGAAAATATGGAAGAGGTTTTTCTATGAATTCAGTGAATAAAACCACTGTTTCTTTGTTGATACTTAATCCTTAAAGGATATTGTTAAATATCTTCAGAAATGCAGGTTTTATATCCAAACTTTCCAAAGCATGTTGGTTCTTCTTGTATGTTAATTTGTACGTTTTTATTGTAAAACATATACATGCAGTACGTATTTTTTTAAAGCTTCAGAATGTGAAAATGCAATGCATCGTTATTAAAATTATGGACAAGGATTGTGAATAACTTAATCCATTCCATGGAATGGGTCTTTAGATCATTACTGCTGTTTTGCCATAATGCAGGCATATTGATAATCCAAACTCACTCTCAGGTTTTTAAAAAATGTTTTTTTGACATTGAGAGAAAGCGATTACTGATTTTTATTTTCTTCACAAATTGTTTGGTTTTTGACAATGGAACAATGAAATTGATTAGATGATGTCCAAAAGCGTTAGTCAGGAAATATCCACTGGCAAATACAGCACACAGATGAAGTAAAATAAAACTTGATAGCATTCTGACTAACAATTGTGGTAATTCTAATACTTGTGAGTTAAGTGAATGTAATTTAAAATACTTGTATTTATCGTGATTCAGTGTTTTATTAACAGGCACCTTTGCCTTGCAGGAATAACAGCTCAAATGACTGTTTTGTAGATAGTTGTTTTTAATGTTTTACAGTAATTTTGTTTCCTAAGCCTTCTTAGGAAGAAGTTCTCTTTGATTCATTGTAAGTTTCCTTATTTGTTATAGTGTGTCACAGCATGAGAGCAACGATACTGATGTTTATCTTCAGAATTTAAGGCACTGTGATTTCATAATGTAGTTTACTCCAGATGATTTGTTTAATTCTATGCTTAGAGAAGTGGTTCTAGTAGAACACTAGAAAAATGCATGGAGGATGTTTCTGTACAAACAGGTATGTAAATCAACTAGTCCATCTCAAGAAATTGTTTTTCTGGTATTAAATGCTCTATATTGAGTTTCTTTTTTTTTCAATTGAGTTTGCTATGGGTGAGGCTGAAGTCTGTATGTTACCCTACTCCATTCTACATAATGGGGCAACCTGAAATTGAGTCTACATTTCCTGAGGTGAACAAATTTTCTTTTAAATAATTTGGCAAAGTGTCCCATCTCCTGTAACCCTCGCTTGTGCAGAGAAGACAATATAGTTTATGAACGTGGCTGAGATTGTATTTGAAGATATTTCCTTAAAGGTTTTCCCAGGTCTTGGTCGTGTTATACCTCCAATACTTTTTACCTGACTTTGTTGTAAGAGGCAGCTGCATTGTGCTGGTGCACTTCTCATCCATGCAGGTTGGTTCCTGCCTGGCTGAGGAGTTGTATGCAACATTAATGAAACTTTTAAAATTTCCTTTAATGTAAGATTTGATGTGGAATTATCTAATCTGAGCCTTGTGAGCTTCACGCACCTTTGCAGCGCGTCTCCATGTGAATACACACATGCATACGCACAGAAACACACAGAGCAATGTGATTTTATCCTGATGGATAAAGGAAACTGGTGAATTCCTGTCCTGCTTCACTTCTCAAAGTGCCCTTTTTATTCCTTGTAGCTTTCTCAGTAGGCTGTAATTTCTTCCAAATTTAGCTTGTTGATGGAGAAGTGTGTTGCTTTGTTTCTCCTTTCAGTGTTTGCCACGTGTTGTGTTGAAAATGTGTATTCTTGATCAGTTCTGCACACAGGCAGTAAAGAAAAAGCAACTTTTCTGTGTCTTGGAAAACATGAATTAAATGTGGATTGGCTTAGACATCACTCTGAGAATTTAGCTTAAAATAGCAGTCCTATTATTGCAGAGTTCTGCATGTTATATGAATTCTGTTCCACTTTTTTAAGGAAATGACACTTACCTACTCACACTGTCTCCATGTGTGTGTCGTGTTCCCTAAACTCACTGCTCTGCTTGCTACTCATGCTCCTACTGGGCAGCTTTCTGTCAGCAAGATGGTCTCAACTGTGTTGCCATTTCTGTGTTTCAACCATTAGCTGGCTTGTAAGATGTTCTTACTTTCACTGCTGTGGGAAAGGAAATGAAAAAACAGCTGCTTCTTCCTGTGTTGGCATGTGTCTGTAAGTGGTGGCAGCCTGTGACGTAGAAAATATGGCAGGACCTGGGGCTGTTGGGTGGAATACCTGGGAAAATTGGAGGAAGAGTGCATTGCAGGTAGAGTTGCTGGACACAAGAGAGGAGGGAGTTTCTGTATGTGTGTGTTCCCTTTGTGCATAAATACCTCAAAAACATTGATAAGGAGAGAATATTTCACAGTTTTTGTTATTTTACTAAGAAGTCATGTCTGAACTATGTAAATAGCAGGTAGTTGCTGTAATTTATCCCTTTGTGCCAGTTACAAGCTGCTGGAGGTTACAATCACTGTAGATATTTGTTGATCTCCCTAGGCTGAGTGATCATGGCACCTAGAAGCTGGCAGAACTGAAAGCTCAAAACCACTGGTTGTTGGATGGGTTCCATGTCTGCATGGTTTACGATGATTGGCACTGATAGCTTTCCAGAGGGCTGGATACCAGCACCTAATAAGATCT